TTGGGGAGCGAGTGTCGATGGTGGTGAGCGTAGCCATCTTAGTCCCGTAGCTAGCAGGTGTCAGTTGTGCTGTGGCACTGGAAGACTTGAGGACACTGCAGTAGCTTTCTGGATTTTTGCATAGGGTGATTCAGCGCGGGGAGGTGTGTGGGGGGGCTCGGCATTGGAGAGTGCACAAAAAAAGTTGGGGGCAAATCGTGCTGGTGGATTTTTGGTGGCCAGGCATCAAGGGAGCAGAAGCTTACAGGCTGATGACATAGGACAGCTGGCACAGCACGCACAAAAAACGATCCAGGCCTTAAAGACAAAAAAATATATTCAGTGAAGTAAAATGGGTTGCCAATGCAGAGAAAAAAAAGAGACAGTGGATAAAAATTGCAGCAGTATGGCAGAAGATCTGAGGTAGCATCTTTTTTTTTTCCTAGAAAAATTTTGTGTTATTTGGGAGATAGAGATGCTAGCAACAGATAGAGCTTTAGCTTGCACAGTATTCTCTCCAGCTCTTCAATCCTTAAAAGTCCTCAGCAGTAAAGGTAGGACAATCTATTAGCCATTTACCAGATGCAATACTAAGTAATAATTTAGGAGCATAGCTACTTTGGTCAGTCAAACTCTTGGAAGTAAACCATCCTTTTAAAACATATATGTATATGAAGGCTAGTCTGCAGAACACAACATTACTCTGGAAATAATAACCAAGTTATTTATCAAAGTATTTACCACAGATTCATGGTAATTTTATGTTTTATAGAAGTTAATGTATAATTAAATACTAATTTCTCCAAAGCTATTCATTAGTGATATGTCATTACGATGGCAAATGGCGTTAACTAAAGACAAAGTTGAAATGCTTCCCAGTATTCTCCTAAGGTTCACCTGAACAAAGAATAATGTGAAAGAAAATAACATTTTCCTTCTTCTAGGCCAGGGTACAAACAGTAGTACTTCCGTCTGCAGCAATCACTACTGTGATTGTAAAACTTCTAAAATTTGTCAAAATAGAGTGAGAAAGGCATGTGGAGACACGTCAGCAGGCTGCTTTGATGACTGTTAAATTTTGTTTAATTTGTAAAAAATGTATATATGAATACAGTTTCTTCAGTCAAGTCACAGTTGCACAACTAATTGCTAAATCTGTTCTACTTCTTTACAGTTCTTTGCTGCAGATGGTTGCAAGATCTACTCAGTGTGGTTTTGCAGATACAATGGCAGCAATATTAGTAAATGCATACAGGATCAGCCGGTTTCTTCAAATATAAGTTAATCATTACAAGAACAGCTAATAATACTTTAGCAGTCTGCTGCTAGTGGGGTACTGCTTCTGTGATCTGTCAGTCATGCAGAATAACTGTCTATTGTCTTACAAAAATGGGGAACTTAAAATTTTGAAAGTGAATGTGTTGCCCTTTTAAAGACTGCTTTTTCTCCCAACAAGTACCCTTTCAAGCAGAAAGTAAGCAAATATTTCCAAAGTGAAAGCAAGTCTTTTGTCAGCTCTTAACAAATTATTGAAGTGACAAATTCCAGTTTCTGAAAGAAAGCCTGCCTAAAATCCAGTAGATAAAAATCTCTGAACCTCAGAAGATCATGTTTTCAAACACTAGTATCAGGCTGAAAATAGGCTGAAAAAGATCCAAAGGTCACAATCAGATTTTTCTTTGGCTAGAATTAGAAGAGAATAGAAGAGAGGAGTTGAGTTCTATCTGATATTTTGCTTTTTTCAGCAGCAGCTGAGTCAGATTGAAATACTGCTATGAGAGTCCATACGGAATACCTGCTTTAATTATGTAAAACACCTTTTCCTATGCATGCCATCATAATGATTTGGAAAATGCAGTCAGGGCAATCCAGTTTGTGAACAGTCATTTGTAGAATTTTTTTTTACATCTAGTCCAGCCTTGAAAGTCTTGAAGTTTCTTCCTGCTTGTGAAGTACGTTGATATGCGTATGAAAAACATTCTATAAGATTATTTATTTTTTGACAAATGAAGGCTACCGACTGGAATTCTTAGGTATAAACCACCCCTACTAACCCTTGGGGCATAAATCAACAACTTGTTTGCAGCAGATCACCGAACAGAAATGATTCTACTGACTTGTCGGGATTTTTTTGTTTTAATGTGTCACAAAAAAGATATTTCCAGGCAGTGGGGCTCTTCTCAGTGAGACTGAGTTTAGCAAGTTTACTCTTTCAATAGGAATGCAACTCCTTCTGTCTTGAAAGACCAGCACATTAGTAATGTATACTGAAGCTGCATGATAGGCATCTACATTATCCCAAGATGCAACTCTGCACTGTCACATCACTACTAGCCTTGTATTTTATCTACAAATTCCATCTGCCCTCGCAGTAAGCAACACAGGTGTTTGTCCAGGAAGACCCAGGCTCCTACTTTCTACCTGACATATTGAAAAGCAGCTAATACAATTGAAGGTCAGGATGTATCCACATGATAAATATATGCCATCTGGGAGGGGGATCAGGAGTCAAAATCAGAGGAAGGTGCTCGTATGATGGGCATACCCAGTATTCTTCCTGTGAACAGAAGAGTGTCAGGTCACCCCACAACTTAAGATGGTGTCTGCTAGCAGTCAGTATGGGTCTTCGGCTAATTAACCTCCAGCATACCCCGAGGTACTGTTTACACAGCAGTACAGACAGAACTCCTGCTGTTTTGGAATACAGTTTCACCACTACAGACAGCAGTAATGCTACTACCTGTAGTTGTAGACAGAAATTCATGATGAGTGTAACTGTTTGGATAGGCTAAGATGTGCCACATTTGTACAGTGCAAGTAGCCAGTTTGCTGAACAGTGGACTTCCCTAGAAGCTGAAGATCTATGTTAAAGGGAATTAAAACTGTACATTTCTGCCCTGACTGAGCACACAGCACTTCTGTTTCATTTTCCCTTCTGTGTGAGACTGAGACATTGGGTTTGGTGAGTGACCACAGGGAGTCCAGATTGCAGTGGGAGCAAGGCACCTGTCATACTCAGGAGGCAAAATGCAGGAGCATTCTTCAAAAACAGAGAGCCTCCAGAACGGGCAGGGAGCTATGCAGAAGTTTTTAAAGATCGAAGTTTCAGCTTTGGTTTCAAGTTTGATCTGGCTCCAGAACGCAAGCGTTAACTGTTCCTGTGGTACTACATACAGACTAATGAGCCTTGTTGAGAGCCAACAAGCTGCAGCATCTGCATGGTGCTGAAACACTGATGTGAGCTGTGTATTCTTTCCACCTTCCAGCACGCTCTAGCATAGATACGCATGAAATCACATGACAAAAGCCATCAAGCACTTCTCAGTTGGTGGTAAGGCTTGGCATCATCTGCTTAGCCTGCAAGGAAGGAGTGTGGAATTACCAAACCTGGGTATTTGTGTCCTGTACAGCTACGTAGTAAAATTTCTCTTCAGTGTGTCTTGAACAGGAAACTTCCCTTCAAAAGATACAATATATGATTTTTAAAATTAATGCAGAGTTAGAAGGTAGACTCTTCTGTGACTGTCTCCCCCATGGGTATTAAGAAACTGTCCAATCAGCAGGCACATGCCTGGAGATACATGATTATTGTTGGACCGTTAAAAAATAAATGAAAGGGCTTTATTTACATCTTGGATGATGCATTCTCACCAACTCCATTGCTCTCGTCTTTCTTTTGCAAGAAATACCAAAAGTATAATACTCTTCTGGTAATGGATACTTAGGGACAAGAAAATATTTTTTTAAAGCTTGGTTGACCAGTGGAATTAATCTCAAATTGTTAGGCCCATCTGATATTTGCTTTCCATATTTGCGGTGGCAATTATATGCTTGATTTGGGAGAAAGCTAGAGGGAACTGTGATTCTCTTGAGTTCAGGAAAATATGGCTCCTGAAATACCACAAAGCACCTACTGCAGCTAGGCACAGAGCCTCCTTGAAAAGTATTAATGAAGTAATGTCAAGACTGATAGGGTGAACATCTTAAAAATACTTGCTTATGCTTTTTAGCATTTGGTGAAAATACTGAAACTAAACTTCAGACTAATCACTAGTTATTACATATTCTAAAACCTCAGTAACTGTGGGCTATGGTTTTGTAATGACAATGCTTTGATGAAAATTAGGTGTTGAAGTGACTGACCTGAATGATAATATTGTTCTTATATAACTGAGAATTCAAATACCAATTATTTTCGAGAAGCAACATTAAAAATAATGAGGGAGGGGGAGAGAGAAAGTCAGTAGCATAGCCCCACTTTGAGCTGCTAATGCCATTACTAATTAACACTGCTGATTTCAGATCGTTTTTTGTCCATCAAAAAGATGAGAGCTGCGTTGAAATCGTTGAAGCTTCTCGGGAACCGTCTTTCAAACAGTTTCTCTGCTATTTCGGCGGAAAGCAGGAACTCCGATGGACTAGGCCTGGTTTAGCTGGAATACTTATTTTCTTTCAGCGGCGGACTGAGCATCAGCATCATCGCATTCCTTTGTTTAAGGGCTGACCTATCTCACGATTTCCTTTTAAAATCCCTAGTGATGCCGGCACCACGGCTTCTCCGCGGGTGACTCGGTGCCGCTCACATTATCATGCTGATCTCCGGCAGCCCGAACTCCGCTACCAGGGTGTTGCGGTGAAACAGCGTTTGTGAAGTGCTCACTCGTCCTCGCCCGAGGGTCTGTGAGCGCGGAACGAGGCGCTGACTGCAAACAGCGACCAACCGCCTAGCTCGGGGGCGGCACTCCCCGCTGCGCTTCCTCCGGCCTCCGCCGCC